TCTATGCAGGTCTCTCTCTATTCTGCCTGCCATAAACTGGCTATGTGCTCTCCTCTGAGCCTCTGAAGCTTCCTTTCTGCCCCATCTGATCTCCCTACAGGTGAAGGGGCTTCATAGGGTGTGGGAACCTTTCCTCTTACACAGCTCTCTCCCAGGGGCACAGGTCCCGTCCTGATTCCCCCACTTTTATTTCTTTCATCCTACCTGGTTACATGGAAATCTCTCCTGCAATTTTGGGTGTCTGAGGTCTTCTGCCAGCGTTCAGTAGGCATTTTGTGAGAGTTTTTTCCACATGTAGGTGTATTTTGATATATTTGTGGGACGAGGTAAGCTCCACATTTTTCTATTCTGTCATCTTGATTGGAGCCCCCATGCTTCTAATAGCAACACACGGGAGTGTCTATCTTGCTTTACACTGGTCTGGATAGAGTATTATATAATTATGCTCTAATTACTGTAGTTAAAAACTGCTATCCCAGTGTTTTCTTCCCCCCCCCCTTTTTATGTCTATTTTCTGTGTTAAGATCATCTTCTGTTTTTGTTTTCTTCATTTAAAATTGTTTATAATATTCCTTTGTCTAATTAGCTACTGAAGTCTTCTTATTATAACATTTAAGCTCTATAGATAAGATGTTAATTTTACACATTTTTCCAATTTGCTATTTTCTTTTCATTATGATTGCCTCAGAGGAGCTATTACTCTTATCATTGTTATTACCAGTGCTGCTAGTAGCGTAAGAAATGTTTTTATGTTGTCAAGTCTGTCCATCTTCCATTATGCTGATTTCTAACCTGGAGAGTCATATTTTCTGTAGATGTTTGCTGAATATTCTCAGCTTTAGAGCATTAAAAATGTATTATATTCATGTTAAATCTGAAATCACTGTCAGTGTTCCTATGAGTTAAGAATCTAAGTTTTTTCCCCTTTCAAATTGTAACCGATTCTCCCAGAACTTTTAATTTACGAATATTTGTTAACCCATTGATTAATGTGACATCTAACCTTTACAAAATTATTATCTAGAATAAGGGGAGCCCTTTTTAAGGAGACATAATTTATATTTTAGTATTGCTTATATTTCAGCTAAATTTTTCCCTCTGCATATTTTATTCTCATTGATCATAGGGTGATAAGTGAGTAAAAAGATAACTCTCCAACCAGCCAGATGAGTTAATGAGCCCTGAAAGTTAATGGAGTAGAGATTCCTGAGCAGTTTAATCACCTTCACATCCATATCTTAAATATACAAAAAAAAGAAAATTATGAAACATTTAAGAGGCAAGATGTAATCAATCACATGCAACTGATGAACCCAAAGCTAATTTACTTTATTTATTCATAAGTTCCTAAAGTTTGTTGCATTCCAGAAGTCTCCTTAGTTTTTTTTTTTTTTTTTTTTTTTTTTGGCTGCACCAGGTCTTAGTTGTGGCATGCGGGATCATAGTTGGGGCACATGGACTTCTTAGTTGCGGCATGTGGACTCTTTTTTTTTTTTTTAATAAATTTATTTATTTATTTTTGGCTGTGTTGGGTCTTCTTTGCTGCACGTGGGCTTTCTTTAGTTGCAGTGAGTGGGGGCTACTCTTTGTTGTGGTGTACAGGCTTCTCATCACAGTGGCTTCTCTTGTTGCAGAGCACCAGCTCTAGGCATGTGGGCTTCAGTAGTTGTGGCTTGTGGGCTTTAGAACACAGGCTCAGTAGTTGTGGCACATGGGCTTAGTGGCTCTGCAGCATGTGGGATCTTCCCGGACCAGGGCTCGAACCTGTGTCCCCTGCATTGGCAGGTGGATTCTTAACCACTGCGCCACCAGGGAAGCCCCCGTATGTTTTTTTTTATCACTTGTAATAAAGATTCTGATTCTGTTTTTGACTTTTGACTGCTGACAGCTTTCAAGCTCCACCCCTCCCCTTTCCTCTTCTATTTGGACAATCTGATAAGAAAGACTGAGTGTTCCCTCTCATGACACCAATGAGAAGTTAAGAACTCCCAAACTTATCCTAGAAGCTTTACCTCCCTGTACCCCCAATCACCATAACACGCTAAACCAGTCACCCCTCCTTCTTTCTCAAACCATATTTGGAAATACCTGGGAGAAAATATTTTCTTGTCTTCTTGGTGTGTGTGTGTGACATCATCAATATCAGTATCTAAACCAATTTGAGAATCTATCCTACTCCTGTGGGGTGACTCCAACACACTCAGTTTGGTTTCTCTAGTAATGACACAGGTACATTTCTGACCAGTCAATTGTTATTGCTGATTAGTAAGTCTAAATTACCATTTTTCCAAGCAGTTGGGTTACTTTTTTCTTTTTAATTTAAAAAGTAAGTTTCAACTGAAGAGAAGAATTATAATCATTACATTGACCAATAAGAGCAAATTGGTAAGTCCTTCTTTCTTGAAAGATAAAAAAGTCTTAAAAATCGTATAGTTATTTCTTATTTTGTACAAGGAAGAGAGTGGTAGTAACAAAAATAATAGAAAATTGATATGAATGAAGTGAGGAAACAATGAATTATATACAGCCTGTAAACTCATTTGTGGATAACCAGAGAAATCATACATAAGATGAACATAGGTAATTACAAAGAATTATTGGTGATTTGAAAAAAAGGTAGAAGATACTGACAGTAATGTGTTTTTTATAAAGCCTTTATGCAAAGAAGTGGGTGATAAGAAGAGGGAAGAAATTTTTTTTTTTACAGTTCTATGAAATTAAAAATCCTGGGCACATTACCTTAATCTATGATGAAAATAATCTAAAGAAGAAACCTCATTTTCTTTTTTTCTCCTTTTCTTTCCTTCTTTCATTTATTTTTTCCCTTCTCTCTTTATTTTCACATATATGGCCCTTGTTCCACAAGTGACTTGAGTTCACTTACTAGAAAATGCAATATCATAAGATTTGCTGTCTTTAACGTGCTGAAGTTTCCCTCAAAACAATGTCTGTGCTAAATTATAAGGAATTTCAAATTTTAGAAATAAACTTTAAAAGAGTACTTTATTCTTATTTACTGTATCTCCTATAAATAGACAGGAGTGAGCCAAGTACAGATCACAAGACCAATATTCAGAAGCAGAGATTTGAATATAACCAGTCAGATTTCAACTCATCTGTCCTCTTTGAAATTCAGTTTTCAAAGATTAGTTCAAGGGTTCTTATCCATATTTCCAGTCATCATCTTCCATTCAGCATCAACACTGATGTGTCTGTCTAGCTATCTATCCCTAGCACTTCAGACTGCTTTATCTGAACAAATGGTGTCACTTGGAGGAATTTTAGATATAACTATATAAATATATTAACAGTAATTATGTAAGTGAAAGATACCATAACTTAGTTCATTCTTTTCCCTGGTGCCACTGCTTCACATCAGTCTGTTTTTAATTGGAAAATGAGAAAATTTATTTTCTCCTTCTCTATTTTTCTTCCTATTTCTCCTAAATCTTCTATGTCTGTTAATTTTTAAGGAACAAAAGCAGTATTGCCTATGCATATGTGACTCATAACGTTTAAGTGAAACATCACTTTTAAAAGCTTCATTCAGTGTTTTCTTAAAGACTCTAATTCCTAAAATGCAAACATGATTGTCTGATAGATTTAGAAGGCTGAGAAGTTGAGGAGAGGGTTATTAAAATTAATTTAGTCTTGTGATGTGGTGGCTTTGCTATTGAGCCAAGCTTAATCTGATCAATATCCTCTACTCTAGAGATCAGAAAGTGCCTCATTGTAAGACATCAAGAAGGTTGGCTCTCTGTAACATTATGTCAGACATTGTCTACATATGTTTGAATCTTCACATACTGTAAACATGGGATACACACACACACACATATATACTGGAAAATATTACATATTTACTTTTAGAAATGTGTTTGATTATTTTCAAATATTTTCTGAAATAAAGTTGTAAAGTTGCCCAGTGGTTTCCATAAGAGAAGATCATTTTTATTTTTGAAAAAATCGTTTTTCAAGTTTTGCTTTCTTCTTTAGATCAAAGGTAGGATATGAGGAAAAAAGAGAATTGTATTTCCAAACTGTCATTTAGGTATGAGTCTGAGAATTGTTGATTTTGTAAAATAAAGGAACAGGGGAATTGGCATGTAGACAGTTCAAGGAAGAATTTGATTAAATAGGCACCTGCCATACTTTAGAGAATTTTTGAATCTTAGACTGTGAAGTTTCGCAACTTCACAGTCTTACCTTGGGATCCTTATTAACTTTTCTCCTTACTCCACTGCTCAAAGGGCATAGTTATACCTATACTCTGTTGATTGTAGGAAAAACAATTAGTACATCTTTGGAAGGGTGGTGGGTAAGATATTTTAAGGATTACTAAAATGTTCAAACTCTCATTGCATGTTCTAACTTGTAAGAATTGAACTAAAGGATACAGTGAGAGGGAAAATAACATGTAACATAAATGTTATAATCTTTTTCATATTAAAAATATTTTCATTCAAATAAATTGAAATTTAGATTATTATTCGTATACAAATTTCGTATGTATTATGACATACGAAAACATGATATAGTGAAGAAATGAAGGCTCTAAAATTTCACACATGCTGCCTAAAAACTACATAAACACCCCCTTTTTAAGATGAGGACAAGAAAAAAATAACATATATATATATAATAGAATTGTGAAGTTGATAGTATTTGAATAATACAGTCTTTTAATTTTTCTATATAATATTTGTACAATTTAAAATAAGTTCTTATATTGCTATACTTTTATGTGAAAAAATTATGCCACTCATCTCAGTTTGGTAACTGAGGAAGCTATATCAATGATTGAACAGGTGTTTCCTGAAGTGACATGCAGGAGAAACACAGTGGTTTAGGGTATTTCTCACCAGGAGGATAACTTTTCCCAAAGCCAAATATTCGTGCATGTCCAAATACAGATGTAGTTAAGGGTGTGATATAAAGTGGGAGTGTGAGAGCATTTCCTTTGAGAAAAATAAATTATTGTTGAGAGGCCATTGGTTTGGTAAACTTAACCTGGGACTGCAAAATTCTGGGGAGTAACTGACAAGATAAAGAAAGCTCCAGAACCCTGGGCAATATTCCTACCCCAACAGTCATCTGGAATAAAGGAATATTGGAAGCTGTACACCCATGACGTCTTAGAGGTTTGCAAGAGGACTGTATTCAGCCAAATATCTGAGCATCATTAACAGACCACCTACAGAGGATCAGTGTGCCCTGCGTTGAAAAGCCAGCTGCAGTGAGACACTTTTGAATGAAGAAGCATCTGGAAATTGAGGATATCAGAGAAGCCACCTACTGATGTAGAGGTGAGTTTTGGGGTATCCCCTCTTGGACAGAGATTGGGCTGATTGAAGTAAGCTTTCTAAGAGGAGGAAGGGAGTATAGAAGACTCAGTTCACTTAGTGGAGAAAGGCTGAGTGTATCATTTTCCTTCCAGAGGAGATCAGCTATACCTGAGGAAACAGAACCTACAAATAATGACTCTCTGTAGGAGCTTCAAGTCCACCAGAATTTTCATGAGGTAATTGTGCCATGCATTTGCTGTCTACCTGAGTGATGGCTACTGCCTTTTATGTTGGTTTATTTTCTTTCTCACCTGGGACGATCTGGAAAGTGGGGGGTATGATGAGAAATTATCTAAGCCTGAAGAAGGGGAAAATTCAGCCCAGAAAGCTATTGCCTGAAGCGAGGCTAGAATTTCACTTCAACTTCTAAAAGACTGGACTGAAGCAAACATGGATATCTATAGAAATTCTCTTGAGTGGGAGCCATTATGATGAAACCCAAAATTATGCATCATGGGAAATAAATTATAGATAAGTAGGTAGATACAAAGATAGATAGATTTTACTCTGGTTTTAGATCATATCAAGATCTTGAGGCTATTTTCTCAAAGGGTCAGAACAGTCTTAAATGAGGAATCACTCTACTGGGGGGTAGGGGGTGGTAGAATAAGGATGGGAAAAGACACACTTTTCTGGGGAGCTTGTGCAGCTCTGAGAGCCAGAGGTGTTTGCTGGATTCAGAAAAGACAGAGGTTAACTGTCGAAGGCAAAAGTAACTGTCAGATGGGAGTTGAAAGTGTTAGGAGGGGAACAGAATGGAGCACACATAAGAGTTCCACAGGCGATGGCTGCTCTCATGGAGAAACCCTCATATTTCCAACCTAGTCTTAAGCAGTGTCTGGTCAACAAGGCTCTATGCTCTGGTGAGTTTCCTAGCAGAGGTGTCTGGGAGTAAAGAAGGTAAGAACAAAAGAAAGAAACATTTCTCTTCCCCGCCAATACCAGGTTTTCACCAAAGCTGAAGTGTACATGTAGAAGTCTCTAGCATGGTGCCTAATAGTTTGTAAATATTCAGTATCTGTGTGGTTTGTGTGTGTGTGTGTGTGTGTGTGTGTGTGTATAAAGATTCACTCATTTCCCATTTTTTTCTTCTTAGCTAACCTGACTACAAGATGATGCCCATACTGTATCTGCTGGAGGTAGCCTGATCAAAAACATTGTAATTATGGAGACGATTCTTCTTTTTATCTCCTGTAACACCTGTACCTCTCCTCTGTCTAACCATTAAAGGGAGCAGTTACCCACAAATGTACTATATGCATGTCCCAATGGTAAAGAGTACACAGACAACTTAGAGGCAGGATTGAATACACAAGAAGAGTGGTTCTTGGTGTTCTGAGGGGCACTTCGCCTACTCATGTGTGCTGCACATCTTCCACCCCCAAAATGAGACCTATGTGGAAAAGGGCGACATTGAGCAAAGGGCATAGATGGAAACTCACTCTCCCTACAACACATCCTCAGCTATTTTGAGCTCCAAAGTTTAAAGAGAGAAAGAAGACTTGCTTCAGATGGCTGGCACCACTGTCACCATCCCCATCTCAGATTCAGAGAAAGGTGTACAAGAAGGAGAAAAGCAGGTGGTTTTCCATGGGAAGCAAGGTAAGTGCTTAAGCACAAAGAGGCTCATTTTGCACTGGGCTCAGCGCATTCGATCATTCCAACAGCGATGCTACTGTGTCTTGAGGGACCAAGTAAACCCTCAGCTTGGGTTTCTCTGGTTTCCTGGGATATTGGAGTTTTCATGTGAATTAATAAGGATAATATAGTTTTACCTAAGGAAGAAATATTTCAAAAATTTATCAAGGTCATCTTGAAGGTGAATCTTAATTACTTCCTATTTTGCATTAGTACCATGAATGCAAAAGTGCTAATTAAGCAGAAGATAGGTTAAAAATGAGCTATGGAAAGGAGGATGCTGGAATGTTTGACAAAGCAAATAAAGAGACCTATGGATATGGGAACCAGGGAGTATGGCTATGATTTACAAATGGGACTATGGATAGGTAAATTATTCACATCAATCTGGGTGTCATAAAAGATGCTGCAATAAACACAGTAAAAATGTCACTCAGGAATTAAGTGTGGAGCCCCCTTTGCTCTCACAACAGTCTTTCAGCAGGACCATTGCTTACCCATAGGCTATAGGGCTTGGGGCAAGTCACTATAGTTGCTGGCTAGGTTAAATACTGAATAATTTTCTACCAAAAAAAGAGAAGGTAGCAGAAGGTCAAACTTAACAGGATGCAATGGAACAGAAAAACTTGCTACTTAGGCTGTGTGATGAATAGTGTATAATATGCTCTCACCCACTTTTGCAGTCATAGCACTAGAAGCTAAGGTTTACCTACTTGAAATTTAACCTAACATCAACTGAGGCTTCTCCTCATTTGTCCTCTGGATCCTGGTTTGAGATAGTGATTTCTACTGTCATTATTCCAGGGAGGGCAGGCACATAAAGAGATAATAAGGGAAGAAGTATCAGTTTAACAAGGAATTAAAATAGTAATGTTCATGTACAGATGCCCAGGAATCAGTGTCTTTAAAGGAAAAAGAGGGACAGTAGAAACCACTACGATGACTAACGATCAGAGGAGAAAGAGGGTGGAGAGGACAAAGCAGAGAAAAGGGAAAGGGTAGGAAGCAGCCATTCTAGGAGAGAGAAGGAGCAGACACCTCTGGAGGAGAAGTAGGCTTCTGTCTCAGGGCGGAGCTGAGCTGTAACACCCACTGAAACAGAGGACGATGGCCACATACACTGAAACACTGTGAGTCTTGTGGTCTCTTGTGGGTCTAGTGTGCAGAGGGGACCAGGACTGGCCTCTCATCATGTCTTGGTAGGAGGAAAGAAAGAGCGCTTCTGTTCAATGGCATTTCTGGGGAAGAGAAAATGAAAATAAAAGACGTGTTCTCTCTCTCCTCAGATGATACAGGCATAGGAAATTAAATGGTAGTGAATGAATAATGCTAAAGCCTAGAAGAGAAAGTTGTATAGAAGTGAAGAGAAGCCCAAGAGCTAAGCCCATAGCAGAGGAGATGCCCACCCTTGCTGGACAATTTGTAAGTCTCTCCTAGGCGGTAAATCTAAGCCCATCTAGAAATCCGATTTCAGCCCAGATGTTGGCTCCTGACACTGATGTGAATGCCTGTCCCAGCTCAGGCTTTTCCTGGAAAAGTAGAGGCACTGGCTTCCTTGTGGATTTCCATATGCAGGATAAACATGAAATTCGTAGCCTATAGAAATTTATAGCTGCTCAAGGCAATTATTTTTGAGAATATTTGGTTTAAATATTTCTTAGGGTCTCAAAATTAAGGCAGGTTCCCTGAGAGTTTCAGCTGGGTCATTGAGTAGAGAGTTATCTTCTTTGAGTACCTGATTACCATGTGGAAACTCTTGTTCCACATGAAAATACATACACTCTTGTCCCAGCTCTCACAGTCCAAGTGCTGTAAGAGACAGTTACTGAAAAAAAAAAAAAAAAAAAAAAAAGAAACAGTTACAACAAATGAGAGAGGACTGGACAATCTCTTTTCTTTCAATGAGCACTTTCCTCTGAGGCAATCTTGAACACCCCTTGAAAGAAAAAAAGAAAAACCCTCACTTGTCTTTTGCCTCTTTCAGGGAGTCTTTGAGGATTTCTTAGAGATTGGTCACTGGGAGGTTTGACTGCTTTATGCATGCTGTTCACGTTTATATCCTCAAAGTAATGGAAACCCAGAGACCAGAATGTAGCTGGAACCCAAGAGTGTGGGAGAGGCAGCCTTGAGTTACAGACCCCTGAGCCCTTAGGCTTGCAAAGGCTTGAAGGATCCTGACTTGTGGTGTCCCCCTGCAGTAGCCCTCAGATAGGAGAGAGTCCTTGGTATAACAAGAAGCAGAAGGGGCTTAGATTTAGTATTTCCAAGTTGTGTCTACCATTGCCTGGAGCCAGGAAGAAAGACGCATTGTCTTCCTTGGCAAAGAAGCAATAATATCCCCAAATGGGAAGGAGGCAGCCAAGCTGTCTCAGGGTGAGAAGTCACAGGGTATCCCGGACCTTGTCAGGCCCGAGAATTTGAGCTTCTGAACAGGACATCTTTGAGATAAGCAAATGTGCACTTCAAGTAAGGGCAATCTCTTAACAAAAAAATTCTGTTACTGGCTTCTGCAGGAACTAATTCTTTTAAATGTTAGAAATGCCAGTGTGACCAGATTGAGAAAGGATCAAATTCGTTAGAGTTCTGCCACTAACCCACTTGCTCTAAAATGTATTTCCTTAGTAACACATTTTATCTTTGCAAATTTTTGATACAGGGCTAAGGATGGGAACCTGATCATCCAACAAAAGATCCTGATCTTTAAAGAGGCCATTCTACCTTAGCCCAACTGAGGTCTGTATCTTGAAATCATAAGGTTTCCAAAGAATAGAACACAAGCCCAGTGTTCAGGTCAAGAGGAAAACAAGAGCTTTGGAATCAGACACACTTGAATAAAAATTCAAATGCTTTCACTTACTATTAGATATCGTGTGATTGTCTTGCTTCACCAGACTTCAGTGTTTTCCTTTGTAAAATGGAAATAATGATGGATACAAGCAATTGTAAAATGTATCATATATATACCCAAAACACTTGACCCTGTGTATTGCATATAGTACATTTCCAAAATGGTGGTTTTATTATTAGTACTAATATGCTTTGCTGTATATCGTCTTCCAGATATGGTTATTGTATATCACAATTCTTTTATGAGTTTTGAGTTAGCAAAAGTATATGGTGAGCTGTCAGGGAATCATGTCAGTTGAGCCCTAACTGAAGAATCTGGTAATGATGGACTTGAAGAAATAGAAACTAAAATCAGAAAGACTCTTTGTATAAATGCAGAATCCTGTATTATTAGAGGGTAGATAGAGACAGAGGAATCTACAAGGAGTTCAACTTTAGTACCCTGTAAAGAAATTCAACAGAATTTGTGATGTGGCTAAGTAGAAGATGAGCTCCCTGTCAATAAATGTTCACGTACAGGCTGGATCGCCTCATGGATATTCCCAAACTGAGTAAATGTTAGAAATTGATTTTTAAGCATTTTAATTTATAAATTACACATAACCAACGTAATGTCAGAACAAACTGACAACTAAGTATACAGTCCAGGGATAATCATTAACATTTTAATTTAGATATGTATTTTGCAAATTATATAATCAGCCTGCACATATTTTCTGAGCCATTTTTAGTTCACTGAACATAACACAATATTAAGAGAATTTAACATTGTATGAGTCACTTTAATTCCTACATATTATATGAATGCATTTAATCACTGAATGATTATTTTATGCCTTCTCTGTACAACCACCCTCCTAAAAAAACACAATTACAGTCCCTGTTCTTAAAAGGCTTACCTTCTATTGTGGAAGACTGGCTATATGATAAGTTAAAAATATTCTTTGTTATTAAGGTAATGAAAATTAAAACTAAAATGAGATACCAGTGCACATCCACTCAAGTGGCTATAATCCAAAGAGCATACCAAGAGTGGGCAAAAATATAGAGAAATTGAAACCTTTATGCTGGTGGGTATGTAAAATGGCCTAGCCACTTTGGAAAACATTTTTGCATTTTCTTAGTTAAACACAAGCTTACTGTACAAACCAACAATTCTGCTGCTAGAAAAACTATATCTACACAAAGATTTATATGCCAATGTTCATAATATTATTCATTACAGCCCCAAAATAATGGATGAAATGTGGTATAGACATATTTTGAAATACCATTCAGCAATAAAAAGACCACTGATAAAGAAATAAAAGAGACCACTGATACAAGCTACAACTTAAGTTTAGAAGCTAGGTGCAAAACCAAAACCAAAAAACCAAACTCATGTATGACTGTTTACGTGAACTGTACAGAAAAAAAACAAATTTTATGCAGTTGGTTTCCTGGGGCTGGGGGTGTGAACTGGGATTGGTTGCAAGTGGGCTCAATGGAATTTTATGGGATTAATAATGTTTTAAAACTGGTTTGTGGCAATGGTGGTCCAACTCTACAAATTTACGTAAAAATCATTGAATTGTACTCTTACGATACGATAATTTTCTGGTACATCCCAATAAAGCTGTTAAAAATGATTTAAGGAAGAAAAATACTCAGGTAAATGCAATGAAGGAAATAAATTGGTTATTGTGTTAAAGAACAAGGGCAAGGATAAGGGGAGAGTTAGATACAGCTCTCAGGAAAGTCTCGATTGCTAAGGAGGTGACCTTTAAGCTGAGGCTGAGCTCTAATTCAGAAGGTAAGATTTAGCCTTGTGTGAACTAGGCTAACAGCCCACTGGCTAACCACATAGGTTCTGGAGCACAATTCTGCCCTTGTATCTTATCAGCTGTGTGATACTGAGAAAGGTACCTAGCATGTTATTTGCCTCTGAAGAGACAATAATACACAGTATTATATAGACAAAAGTAATGTACATTTTCTGGCAAATGAAAAAATAATTTAGCTATTATTAACCAATTATATATTGCTGGTCAGTTGGAGTACTTATGATGCTTTAATGAGTATTTTTGTGGTTAAACCTATGTATATATGCCTGATTCTTTCCTCAAGATAAATTCATAAAGGTAAGACTAGATTTCATTAAAAATACATATTTTAAGGTATTTGATACATCAGGAAATGGCCAATCACATAGCTAAGTATATGGAGACTGGGAAGAACATTAGCACACCTTCCAACAAAAATTCTATTTTGACCTGTAAGGGAAGGACCTAGAGCTCATTCATCTTTTTATTCCCAAGACTATTGACAATAATGTTTTGCACACTGTTAAGTAGGTGTTCACTGAATGAGTGACTGAATCTTCCAGAGACAAGGGTGACTTAGTAACTGGAGAATTTCTTTGGTGACCAGAAGTATATAGACAGTTTTGTGACGCCCTGTACATAGTTTCCCCCTTGAGGGTTTCATCCCTGAACTGAAAAGAAGAAGGTCTGAATCTCCAGATAAAATATTGAAATAGAAACTGCAGATGAGTGGTTTTGTTGAAAGGGCATTGTCTCCTTCAACTCTTGGATTCTCTGTGAATTTCTTATTTTTGTTAGTCACAAAGAGGGAGCCATTTTATGCTTTTTGAGGTAGTTTAGCAATAGTAAAGGGACAAAAAATATGAGTCAGTGATAATTAGAATATAAAATCACCAGTTGATGATGCATTAGAGCTTCTAGTATGTTAGACACAAATTTGGAGATGAATGAGTGCATTTTGATGTAGTTACCAGGTCCTCATGGTGCCTGCATAATCATGTAGCCTGAAGCAGAATTATGAAGGCATGAAACGCATCTTTTGTGTTCAGGGTACATTTTGAATTACCTCCTCTTTCACTGGTGGCTCCTTTCCTTCTCAGATGTATGCTGGCCTCCCACCCTCCCCTTTTCCTTTCTATCCTTTCCATCATAACCCACTCTCAAACAAGCAATTGATATGTTACTCTTTCTTTAGTGTACTTCTAAATACCTTGAAAAGAAAGTTGATAGTGTGTACATATATATGTGCATATATATATGGATATATATTAAACGTGTGTATATAGACATATGTATTAGATTACTGAGGAGTGTATATAGTTATATATCCATCATATATTTTGTTATTTATTATATAAACATGACTGTAATAATGTATATGAAATAACATGTATATATACAACTCGCTTGCTGTGTGTGTGTGCATGTGTGCATGTGGTTGAAGAAAGGCATACATGAAAAAAGATTTTTCTTAGATTTTACTTGATTTCACTTTCCTAAGTGTTGTATTTTCAGAAATATTTTTTCAATGTTGAATGAAAGCTTCACAATTCATTATAAACGGTCAAATAAAAGATAATAGTATTTTGACATGTTAATATGTCAGTTTACCTATCTTCACACTCTTTAAAATATTTCATAAAACTAAAAATTGGTTAGTAAGATATATTTTTACATAAAGCAAGAGAGCCAATATCAAAATTTTATGGGAACCCACTAGTGAGGATTGCAGTGTGCCCTTCTTCACAAGGACTTCTTCAAATATGTTGTCTGCCTGGAAGGTCAAACAAAACCAGTTTGAAAAAATCTTGATCTGATATATGCTTATAAAGAAGAAGAGATGGCAGTCCTCAGCAGTCATGGCAAGAGCAATTTACTTAGGAGAGAGAGATAAGTGACAGGTAGAGAAAATTTCTGGAGACCTTGAGATGAAAGTGAAATGCTTTTTTATATAACCAAAGGTCAGATCCTTAGTACTTTTAAGAAGCCCTCCTCGATGATCTCTTTTTATTTCTTGGTGTCAAAGTGAAATTAGATAAGTCTTGAATTTTCTCAGTTTTAATGGAATCAGGACCTCAAGTTCATGAGGCAGGAAGACCAAGAAATATGAAACTGTGAATAGTTAGGCTCAAATTACGGTTTATTTCCAATAATAAGCTAAATATCTTTGTCTTTATCTTTATTGCCTCTTTTCAATATAAGAAGATTTCTATAGTTTTTGAAGGTATTTGGCCAGTTATTATAAAATTATTACAGCATGTTTATTCATCCTAAACTATATAATTGACTGTTATGTGTCACTGTCTACCATTATGGATTTTTTGTTTTAGTAGAATGCAGTAGTCATTCAAGGAATCTCAAAAACAGTTATGCACTGTGATACATACTATGAAAGCTCAATATAGGATACTGTGAACAACAGAGCGGGAACAGTCGTGTTATTGGTTTTTGGGAAATTATTTTTAAGGAAATGGACCTCAGCAAAAGAGGGCAATGTAAGTGGCAGTGTAGGCAAGAGGGCAAGAGGAAAAGAAAATGTTTTAGGGGCTGGCTTGGCACACATTTGTAGGCCATGTGAAGGACTTTTTTTTAGTAGGAAATCATGCAGGATTTCAAGCAGTGTACTGACTTTTGACCATGTTTTAAGAGCATCTTTATGCATTTAAAAAATGGAGACCAACAGGGTAACAGTCTCCTTCAAAGTTCAGGAAATTTATAAGGGAAAATGATGCTTGAAGCAAAATGCATGTTAATTACCTCTAATTAAAACAAAGTTTTGATATCTGAATATGGCCAACTCTGCCTATTAGATTCAAACCTCTATAAGGAATAGTACAAAAATGTAGAACTAAATGTGGAAAATCATCCCAGGAGAAAACGTTAAGGCAAGTGGAGAGTATAGCAGGAGATCTGCAGGAGTGACAGTCCTGAGATATTAATTACCCAGGTAAAACAGACATTCTTGAGAGTTCTAATTTGTGTTCATATGATATTGTCACTTGTATTATATTCTTTCTTTGGAATTTCCATATCATATATTGCAATCACATAAAGTTTCTGTGCTTTGTCGCTATATTCCCCTTCTATTATACAGATAATGATATGAATGTCCAGAGATGAATGCCATGTTTATAATGAAATTGGTAAGTTCTCATTTATCTTCCACCTATTGCTCTTGTTTTCTTTTTCCCACAAATTTTCTGTTCTATTACCAGGTTCATTGTCAGTTATAGGGGCCATAGACCAGCCACAGTTTTTCCAACAGTACTGTAACAGTTACAAATACATGCTTGCAAGATTATGAAATGGCACTGGGTATGCAGTTTACAGTTTTAAGAATATATGTTCTTAAGAAGTCAGAAAATAATCATTGCCTTTTATTATTGCACATCAAACAATATCTGTACTAACAGCCTTTTATTGGCCAACTGACATATGCCAAACTGTGGCTTATATGATTTTTTTTTTAATCTTTGTGACATAGTAGTCTCATTTATCCACAAGGAAATAGAAGTCAGAGAGCTTATTTTACTTGTCAAAGTAAACTAGTTACAAAGTCTAGATTCTAATCTGGGTTTGTCTGCTTTCATTGTGCTGTTCATCCTACCTTTAATGTACATTTTGGATTTCATAATTCTTTTGTTCCACTTTATTTTCCATCAGGCTTATGTCTTTAACTCTTGCCTTTTCTCACTCCCTATTCAGTCTCATCAATGACTCCATTTCTGTCCTTGTCTCTGATCATAGGTATGAATAGTTCTCCTTCACTCAAAAGCTGCACTGGGCATGGTTTTCATTGTAAATTACAAAACTGTAGCTTTAATTCCTTGCACATCTCTAGCTAGACTTGGTCATAAAACTACGTATGCCATTAAATAAATGTATCCCAAAATGTGTTTCATAGAACACTAGTTGAATGAAGTGTTCCTTGAAAATGGGATGCCGAAGTCAAGTAAATTGAGAAAATTCTGTTGCTTTTAAGCCTTTCCTCATGCTAGATTACTCCCAATAAACATTAGCTTATGAAATTGTCATAGACATTATACAGTAAAACAATATTTATTTCAAAAGAAATGTTTGACCATAGAAAAACATTGTTCATTTTGAAAAAAAAAAAAACTACAAAAACTGTTTCCTAGACTTCTCTCTCTCTCTCCTTACTGGCAATCCCTTGAATGAAAATGCTCAGGATTTACCAAGCTAAATTGCTACATGGGTTAGAGGAGTTTAGAAATAGTTATTAAAAATCATATACACATATGTCTGTTTTTATGTCTATGATTATACTTATTTTCCATGCATTGCTTTGACTTATAAAGTTCCTATGTAACCTTGGGAAATTAAACATTTAACATTCCTTAAATTTCTGTGCACTTACATACTATACACCCAATACCAAAATTTTAGATGTCACATATGATCTCCAAGTCACATTTCATTTATCTTATGTGCCAAAAAGTGAAAGGCATAATGATATTTATTTAGCCTTTTATAAGATATCCTAATCACATGTGTTTTCTAAAAGTGTATAAAATTGTCATTTTGAAATATATATGATACACTTAGGTTGCTATATATATGAAAAATTATAAAAGAAGGAAAAGACAGTTACATCTCTCAAACATATTTGATTTTTGTTAATCATTGACACAAGAGTAAATCTGTCCTAGGAGTATTATCAGAATAATTATTACCTTTCTATACTTTTCTTTTGACAATAGGAAAAAGATGACTCAAAAATCAATGAACAGCTAGACTAGCAATCTAGGTGTTGATTGAGTCGGAAACTATTTACCTCCTTGCATAATTCTACTACCCAAACAATTATTGCCGAAATATATGCAAACGCAAATCCAAGATCCCATGGAAATATTGATTTCCATGAAAAAAAGAATATGTGCAGCAGTGCATGACCAACTAGATGTACTGTTTCTGGGCAATTGATAGGTAATGATCATTCTCTATGGGGAACTATGCGGAGCATTCATGTAAATTTTATTGAATTTGTGACCAGTCACCCATAAAAGATAATTATATATGTCTGAGTATGAGGTGACCTGATCGTCCTATCAAACATGGCTTTACAGCAAACCTTAACTACTGTGGAGTTTACTATACAGACATATGAATAAAAATAACACCGGAGGTCTTTCTCACAGTGTTTGGGAGAGAAATATAAATAATTGAATTTAAGAAGAGAATTAAATTTACCCAGTCTACAGAATGGTTCAAGACAAGATGTGCTTATAGACAGTTATGTTGGTTAAGTCGTTTTTTGAATTGTCCAAGAGAAACATGCTGATTCTAAGGGAAGAAGTTACCTTGCTGGGTTAGAGTGGTCCTATAACTGCTGTCAGCCAAATGTATTTAACCTAGTAGAAATGTCAACAAGGATCTGGACTAGAGAAACATGGAAAGTAGAGAGTGTCTAAGGTACCACGCCACCTCTTAGCATTTTTTATCATAAAAAATCTGTATTTTCTTAATTTGTACTGAATGTTCTGTTGTTAATCGTATACCATCCATAGATAAGAACAATGTGGTCAGTGATTGATTTGAGCTGGGGTGCCTAATTTCTGGGCCCATCTCCACATATTTTGATTCAATACATATTCATAATTAATATATAGTCATACAAATTTTTATAGATAACTTAAATATATGAATTTCACATATATACATATATGTATATAATTTCCTTGTACGGTATTGATAGTCTGATGTGGTACATACTGGGTGATCACTTCAAATAACAGAAAATTTGTCTAATATAAATGTATGTTTTTAACTCCCTATTGTTTGATCACTCTTTATAACAAAACTAAAACTGATCTTACATTATTTTTTAAACTTAAGTCAGTACCCTGTCTAATTTTGTCACTACATAAATAGCAGTTCTATTTACTGATAACCCATACTATCATCCATACAGTATTTTTACCTCTTTTTTGGTATATTCATTTTAGAAAAAATGTTTACTACATTCACACAAAATACCATGTGGTGCTGGGCATTTACCTTAATAAACTCTCAGTCTAATAGGAGACATGAAAATATTCATAAATATTTACTTTATAGTAAGATAAATGACATGAAAAAGTAATGCACATAGCACTATGGGAGCAAAATAGATGGATATCTAAATAAGGCTAGGTAAACTTTTCTAGAAAGAAAACATTAAGTTGTATCATTTTTTCTCTTTTCTTTTTTTATATTACATACCCAAGATATATTTATTTTATAAATGGAAATTTGTACCTCTTGACCACCTTCACAATTTCACCCACTCCCCTCTGGCAACCACCAATCTGTTTCTGTATCATTTTTCTTTGTTTTGTTTGTTCATTTTTTTTTAAGATTCCACATATAAATGATATCATATGGTATTTGTTTTTGTCTGACTTATCTCACTTTGCATAAAATACCCTCAGAGCCCATCCATATTATTGCAAATGGCAAGGTTTAATTCTTTTGTATGGCTGAGTAATATTCCATTTTGTGTGTGTGTGTGTGTGTGTGTGTGTGTCAGATCTTCTTTATCCATTCATCAATCAATGGATAGTTAGGTCATTTTCATATCTTGGCTATTGTAAATAATGCTGCAGTGAATATAGTGGTACATATATCTTTTGGAATTAGAGTTGTAATATTTTTGGATAAATACTCAGAAATGGAATAGCTGGATCATGTGGTCATTCTAGTTTTTAATTTTCTGAGGAACCTCAATACTGCTGTCCATAGTGTCTGCAACAATTCACATTCCCACCAACAATGCACAAGAGTTCTTTTCTCCACATCTTTTTTTTTTTTGCGGTACGTGGGCCCCTCACTGTTGTGGCCTCTCCCGTTGCAGAGCACAGGCTCCGGACGCACAGGCTCAGCGGCCATGGCTCACGGGCCTAGTTGCTCCGTGGCATGTGGGTTCTTCCCAGACCGGGGCACGAACCCGCGTCCCCTGCATCGGCAGGCGGACTCTCAACCACTGCGCCACCAGGGAAGCCCTTCTCCACATCTTTTTGATACTAGCCTTTCTAACAGATGTGAGATGGTATCTCATGTGGCTTTGATTTGCATTTCCCTGATGATTGGTGATGTGGATTATCTTTTCATGTGCTTGTTGGACATCTATAAGTCTTCTTTGGAAAAATGTCTATTCAATTCTCTGCCCATTTTTAAACTAAAAAATTTTTTGTTATTTACATATTTTTTATATTAACCCCTGAATGGATATATGATTTGAAAATATTCTCTCATTCAATAGGTTGACTTTCATTTTATTGATGGTTTCCTTCCTAGGGAAGAATATTTTTAGTTTGATGTAGTCCTACTTGTTTTTTTTTTTTTGTTTTTTTTTTGCTTTTGTTGCTCTTGCCTTTGGAGTCATATCCAAAAAATCACCAAGACTGATATCAAGGATTTAACTCCTATGTTTTCTTCTTGGAGTTTTGTGGTTTCAAGTCTTACATTCAAGCATTTAATTCATTTTGAGTTAATTTTTGTGCATGGTGTAAGGCAGTAGTCTAATTTCATTCTTTTGCATGTGGCTGTCCAGTTTTCCCAACACAATGTATTGAAGAGACTATCTTTTCCCCATTGTATATTCTTGCCTCCTTTGTTGTAAACCAATTGGCCATATATGTGTGGGTTTATTTTGGGGCTCTCTATTTTTTTTTCATTGTTTTATGCGTCTGTTTTTATACCAATACCATACTGTTTTGATTACTATCACTTTGTAATACAGTTTGAAATCAGGGAGCATGATGCCTCCAGCTTTGTTCTTCTATCTCAAGATTGCTTTAGCTATTTGGGGTCTTTTTTGATTCCATACAAATTTTAGGATTATTGGTTCTATTTCTGTGAAAAATGCCATTGGAATTTTGATAGGGATTGAATCAAATCTGTAGATTGCTTTGGTAAACATTTTAACAATACAAATTCTTTCAGTCCATGAGTATAGAATATATTTATATGTATTTTTGTCTTCTTAAATTACTTTCATCACTATCTTATACTTTTCAGTGTCTTCATCTGTCACTTTCTTGGTTAAATGTATTCCTAGGTATTGTATTATTTCTGATGTACTAGTAAATGGAATTTATTCTTAATTTGTCTTTTTCATAGTTTGCTGTTAGTGTATAAAAAC